GGGTGAGGGACCACCAGGGGTGAGGGACCACCAGGGGGTGAGGGACCACCAGGGGGTGAGGGATAACAAGGGATGAGGGACCACCAGGGGTGAGGGACCACCAGGGGTGAGGGACCACCAGGGGGTGAGGGACCATCAGGGATTGAGGGACACCAAGGGATGAGGGACCACCAGGGGGTGAGGGATAACAAGGGATGAGGGACCACCAGGGGTGAGGGACCACCAGGGGTGAGGGACCACCAGGGGGTGAAGGATAACAAGGGATGAGGGACAATAAGGGATGAGGGACCACCAGGGATTGAGGGACACCAAGGGATGAGGGACCATCAGGGGTGAGGGACCACCAGGGGTGAGGGATAACAAGGGATGAGGGACCACCAGGGGTGAGGGATAACAAGGGATGAGGGACAATAAGGGATGAGGGACCACCAGGGGTGAGGGACCACCAGGGGTGAGGGACCACCAGGGGTGAGGGACCACCAGGGGTGAGGGATAACAAGGGGTGAGGGACAACAAGGGATGAGGGACAATAAGGGATGAGGGACCACCAGGGGATGAGGGACAATAAGGGATGAGGGACCACCAGGGGATGAGGGACCACCAGGGGATGAAGGACAACAAGGGATGAGGGACCACCAGGGGATGAAGGACAACAAGGGGTGAGAGACCACCAGGGGATGAGGGACCACCAGGGGTGAGGGATAACAAGGGATGAGGGACCACTAGGGGATGAGGGACCACCAGGGGATGAAGGACAACAAGGGGTGAGGGACCACCAGGGGATGAGGGACCATGAAGGGATGAGGGACCACCAGGGGTGAGGGACAACAAGGGATGAGGGACCACCAGGGGTGAGGGACAACAAGGGATGAGGGACCACCAGGGGATGAGGGACCACCAGGGGTGAGGGACCACCAGGGGTGAGGGACCACCAGGGGGTGAAGGATAACAAGGGATGAGGGACCACCAGGGGATGAGGGACCACCAGGGGATGAAGGACAACAAGGGATGAGGGACCACCAGGGGATGAGGGACCACCAGGGGTGAGGGACCACCAGGGGTGAGGGACCACCAGGGGGTGAGGGACCACCAGGGGGTGAGGGATAACAAGGGATGAGGGACAACAAGGGATGAGGGACAATAAGGGATGAGGGACCACCAGGGATGAGGGACCACCAGGGGATAAAGGACCACCAAGGGATCAGGGACAACAAAG